ATATTTTTATTATTGATTTCAGAGAGTAAGAGAGAAATAGAAACATCAGTGATGAGAGAGAATCGTGGATCGGCTGCCTCCTGCACGCCCCCACTGGCACTGGAGTCTGAAACCTGGGCATGTGCCCTGATTGGGAATTGAACCATGACCTCCTGGTTCATAGGTCAATGCTCAACCCCTGAGCCACACCGGCCGGGCACATCTCATTATTTTTAAAGTGATGGTAGATGACTTTTTACTTCCGTCTCCATCTGTTTTGCCTGTTGTGCCGGCTGGGGCCTCTGCATCGTCCTGTCGGGTGGAGTGGCGACAGCCGGCCTCAGCCTTGCCGCACTGTCGGGGACGACATTCACTTACTCACCATTAAGGTGATGTCAGCTCAGGTGCCTGTGGGTGTTCTTCATCGAGGTCAGGACAGTCCTCCCTGTTCCTGGTAACGGAGAGTCTGTGTCATAAGCGGGGGTGGAGTTTTGTGCGTCAGTGATGTCATCAGGTGAGCTTCCTTCTTGCCTTGCTGCTGTGCTGCATTCCATTGGTTGAGCCAACCTTGCATTCCCAGAACAAACCCGTTGGCGACTGGTTTATTCTTTTTAAGCATATATTGTGTTCAAAGTAAGGCTACTCTGGGAGCATAAAACATCACCCCCAGGGTTGGAGTGACGTCGGTAGCTCGTGAACTGCAGGCAGAAGTGGAGACGAAGCGGAGACAGCGCCACCCTCCGTGCCACCCGCGTGCTTAGCTCCAGCAGCGTGTCCAGCTCTTCCAGGACCGGGCCGAGCTGTGGGTTAGGGCGGCTGGGAAAGGGCCTCTGGCTCCTCCCCGTGCCGCTGGGGGACCCTCCTTGCCTGCTGGTGCGGGCAGGGGTGGGGTGGTGGTCTTCTGCCTGCAAGGAGCCCGCCCTCGGCGCTAAGTGCCCGACTTCCTAACTAATAAACAAATTTAGAAATTAAACTTTGAGCACTGGTTACAGACTTCATTTTTTTATTGATTTTTTAATATTTTATTGATTTTTTACGGAGAGGAATAGAGAGTTAGAAACATCCACGGGAGAGAAACGTGGATCAGCTGCCTCCCACACACCCCCTACTGGGGATGCTGCCCACCACCAAGGTACATGCCCTTGACCGGAATCGAACCCGGGACCCTTCAGTCCGCAGGTTGACACTCTATCCACTGAGCCAAACCGGTTAGGGCTGGTTACAGACTTTACCTCCCTCATCCATTTAAATGATAATTACATCGAATGAATTATTCTTGTGAGTATGTTACCCATAACATCAAACAAAATACACAAAAATCTAATGATTATAAAATTATGATAACCATTTTGAACGTTTCAGTATCATGGGTTTAATTCATTCATTTACCTTATTTTCTCAAGGCCTAGTACCCTTACCAGGTAGTTATTTCTGTCCCTTCTTGGAATGAGAGTTTTCCACTTGCTTCTAGAGTTACAGCCTCCCCGGCCGGCTCAGGCCGCAGGCTCAGTGACCACGGCCCACACCCAGAGCCATTTCCGTTGTCATTTTATCGGCATTGTTTCCCCGGCTTCTCTCACCTCTGGGCGTTTGGAGGCAGCCTGGCCTGCCTTCCACACGGGTTCAGCTCCTTGCAGCCTGATGCCGGCCCTGCCTGTGCTCCTCAGGTCTGTTGGCCAGCGTGCTGGGAGGGGATGCGGCAGGCATTGTTTCCATGGGCCGAGGAGCTGAGTCTGCAGGGTCCTCTCGCCTCCCAGGGCCCTCGGCCAGCTCAGGCCTTGGGTCTCTGTTGGGCCTCCCTGCTGTGTCTGCTGTGGCTGAGCAGGGGCCTGGGAGTATTGGCCCAGACGCCAGCTGTGCCACCTGGCCCGAGGCGTGGTTGCCTGGTTCCATGCCACCCGTCCCTGCTCCTGGTTTTGGCTCCGCTTGCGGGGGGTGGCGGGCAGGGGAGATAGGGCAGCAGGGTGGGCGGCCTGCCCTGGCGTTTGACGCCGGACGTGTCCCCCGTGCCTGCCCAGGTGCTTCTCCTGTGCTCTGCCACCTTCCCTGTGGGCTCCCAGACATCACTGGGCCCAATTCGCACCATTTCCTTGTTGGAGCGTGGCCGACGGGGCCCTCTCCACGCCTGTCGACTGGCCTTCCTGAGCGGGTCAGAGGAGACTGACATGTTTTGCTGGTGCCTCTGCGTTCGTGGGGGCGGCCTCCAGGCCTCTGGGTGCCAGCCCATGACTCAGTTTCTAGGTCTGAACAACCCTTTCAGTTGTGGGCCCATGTGGGGTCGCTCCTCTCATCTATGGTGCCGGCCTCCTGGGGTCTCCTAGGGTCATGGGAGGACTCCTGAGGTCGAGGGAGGACTCCTAGGGTCGTGGGAGGACTCCTGGGGTCGAGGGAGGACTCCTGGGGTCATGGGAGGACTCCTAGGGTCGAGGGAGGCCTGGGTGGGTTAATCCAGGGAAGTGCCAGTCGATGCTCAGTGCGGTGGCTGTTTGGCAGTTTTGAATGAGGAAGTAAGGGAGCACCTGGGTTTTCACCGTCAAGCCCTGTCCCTGGCTGTGGTCCTCCTGCCTACCCTGCCTTTCGACCTCACCCTCCCGCTTCCTCCAGGCTCCTTGCCAGACCCCCTTCTTTTGGCTCGACAGTGGGGGCTCCACCGGTTCAGTCCTGTGTCTCCTGGCCCCACCCTGGGGGGGCATCAGCTCCTGGTTGAGTGCTCACCCCTGAGCGAGCCTGTCCCCTGAGCCCCAGCCTCTGGGGCGGCAGCACTTAGGGGCTGGGGGACCTTTTAGGCACCGAGAGCCTGAGCAGAACAATGTCAGTGTCAGTAGCTTCAGCTGTAGGTCAGGGAGGGAGGTGCCATCGGAGCAAAGACCTGAGCAGAGGGCTGTGGGGTGTGGGGTGCCCAGGCTTTGCGTGCAGGTCTGTGTGCACACGTGTCGCTCCCGGGTGCACACGGGTCGGGTGGCTGTAGCCTGGGCAGGGTGTGGGTAACATGTTCAGAAACTTCCAGCCGGGCTGCGTGTCCTCCCCCCGGGCCGTGCCTGTGGGTCCGGCCCCAAGACCTCGCCCACCGGCCCAGGCTGCGGTCAGCGCTCAGACCGCCTTTCTGCCCGGTGTCCGTGGTGTCTGTGGTTTTGGTTGCGTTTCCCTGTGGCTGCTGGTGTCGGCACCACACGCAGCTGACGGCAGCGCTGCTCTCCCTCGGCTCAGCGGGCCTGGTCCCCGCCCTCCGGAGGGATGTAGGCTCAGCGTGTCCTTCCTCACAGGGAAGCCACTGGTCTGCTGGGGATGGGGCGGGGAGATGCGGGGGCACTGAGGGAAGTGTCCCCTCCTGTCCTGAGCGGCTGTCCTTCCCTCACTTGTTTCCTCTGACCTGTCAGCAGCCTTCTGTAGATTCTGTAACTTTTCTCTTGGCGTAATTGACATGTCACAGGGTGTGAGTGGCAGGAGCGCCACACGCTAGATGGTTTGTATTTGTCGCAAAACTTCCCGCAGCAGGGCCCCACCACCCGCCGCTGCGGGTCGGGTCTTTTTTCTGGTGAGACGTTCACACATGCGACTTGATGCTGGTTAACTGCAGCCCGAGCTGTGTGCTGCCCGCTCGGCCCAGGCCGCTCGCCTGACCCCGGGCAGCAGGCCCGCACTTGGTCCGCGGTGCCCTCCCCGTGCTGGCCTTCAGCGCTGGCTCCGGTGTTTCTAAAGCTCGGCTTATGGTTTGTCGCTGGTCACAGACGTCCTGTTGGTTGGTGTGCATTCCGTGCCTCCTGCCGTCTTGCTAAGGAGCTCGCCTGTGGGTGCAGTCACTGGTAGCGTCCCTGCAGACCCTGCACCTGCCGCAGTCCCGCCTCCGATGCTGTTGTCTCGGCATCTTGCCTCGGTGGTTCCGTCACCTCGACTGCGAGCCTCGGGTCCAGGGGGCTGTCGGGCCCTCGGTGGTTCTGGTTCTCAGTGACTTTCACCCCCAGGACAGTGTCACCTGGGGCTCAGGGCTCCTCGGGCGCCTGCAGTGCGGGGGTGGGGTGCCTTCAGGAATCCCGTCACCTTTGACCTCCCCTCGTGGCCCAGGCCTGCCCAGAGCCCTCCACTTCCCCGCCCTCCTCCCCTCCCCACACTCCCCGGTTGGTGTGCGGTTGGTGCCAGCCCTGCCTCCTGGAGGAGGAGGCTTTGAGCCTGGGGGCAGGGACGTTGTGTGTCCTGGCCTGGCCGCCTGTTCCTGTGGAGGCTGGTGTGGCGTCACCTGCTGGTCCCCAGCCGGGGCCTGTCCCCCTCCGCGCTGACTCCTGGGAGGGACTCCTTCGGGGGCGCGGCCCGGCACGGGGGCGGTCAGTGTTTGTTCTCTCTCTCTCTCTCTCTCTCTATCAGTCGGGAGTTTTCTTAGAAAATCACTTCATGACCCAAGTTGTCACCTCCCCGGCCTTAGGCTCCCTGACTCCGGCCCTGGGAGTGTGAGCTCATTCCCCCACTCGCGCTTAGGAGGCCCGGTGGCCGGGCTGCGGCTTCCTGTGGACACGGAGCCTTTCTGTTCTGACCGTGCTGTGTCCACGCGGGGCTGAGCGCCGAGGGGCTGGGAGAGCCCGTGGCCGGGGGCCTCTGCTCCCCCGCTGGTTCCTGGCCCCTCACGCGGTTCGGGGTTGAGGCTTTCTTCGCGGAGGAGGCGGGTCCGCTTGGTGGCTGTTTCTTGGACGGAGCGCAGGCTCTGCTGGCAGGGCGCGGAGTCCAGTGTGCCTGCGGCTGCCTCAGTCACGTTTGTGCAGCTTTTCTGGACTGAGAGGCGTTTAAAACGCCCCCGAGTTCTCTCTTAACCGCTGTGTCCCCCTGGTTCGTGAGAGAAGTGCCACCGCCACCCTCGCTCCTGGCCTTTTGAATCCTCCGATTCATTGAACCACGGACACTCTTGAGCTCTTGGGCGCCTGGGACGGGGCGGGCCCTGGTGAGGCCGTCAGCACTTTGGGAGGAGCGGGGCGCCGGGCGGTAGACGTGGCTCTGTGCGTTGTCTCTTACTCGCTTTATTTTATTAAATTAAGGGATTGGTGTTTGGACCGAAGCCCTTGTTCATCGATGATGGAGATGGAGCCGGAGAAAGTCAACGTGCGGAGGGGGCTGAGCGCAGACACGTCCTCCTACCGCTGTGCCACCTGCCATGGGGATGAGGACGCTCTGATGGGCCACCCCATCCGGGGTCGCGCCAAGTCCCGCAGCCTGTCTGCCTCGCCCGCCCTGGCGAGCACCAAGGAGTTCAGGTACGACGGCCCTCCTCGGCCCAGCACATCCCAGCTGCACACGCACACGCGCTCGGCGCTGCCCAGCTCTGTCCTCCGTGGTGCCCACGCCTGTGCCCACGGAGGTGTGTGGCCCAGGCCCCGTTCCCGGCTGGGCTGGCGGGCGCAGCGAC